AGTAATGCTACTCTTACTTGAGTACAATTTTTGGATACTCGACCCACCTCTGGCAGATACACAGTTTTATATCTTAACTGGCAACACATGCTCCCGAGGCATGATGGGAGACAACTAGCCGCTTCCAACATGCCGCACAGCCCCCACCTGAGTGGTTAGCTGTCCTCAGCAACCTGTGTGTCCATAACAAAGCCTATGAGGCGTTGGAGAAGGCGACACTGTCGTCAAATATGTGTTACGGGTCCCCCAGCTGTCTCCAAGACCAAGTTGGGGCCTGGGTTTGGAGCTGGGACCGTGACTGCTCCCCGGATGGGCTGATAGGGTACCAGGCGAGCACCCTATTCCGTTGAGAAGTTAAGGGACGTGACAAATCGCCAGTATTTTACGCGTTGGGAGTAAGAACGTGTTGGTAAACCATGTATGACAGCCTCTCAAGCATGTCCAAACCACTGGCTTACGCACAGTTCAGTTAACTACGTGACAAGGCAAGCGTATGTGAGCGAGTGTGTCTGTGTGTGTGTTATCTCCTGTCACACCATACATGGCGCAACCTCTTCTCAAGTTGCTCTATAGGTGCAAAAGAGCAGAAACTTGTGGTTTCTAAACGTGCAAAAGAAAGTTACAGTGAAGAGACCACTCTCTTGCATATCCATGGTGATACTTCATGCACATGCACCTTTTATATGTACGGACATGTGCAGGTATAGATATATGTGTATGTATACATATGTATATTTAGTATGGATGTGTGTGTGCATGCACATGTCTATACTTATAGATATTTGTAGACATCTATTACTTACATAGTAATAGCAGCGGTAGAATACTTTTATTTATGTCTTGCATATTTCCACAACCCTCTATCAATAATCACATTCTGTGTATGCTACCGTTGTATATAGTTTATTATCTTACTTATTTTGTATTTGTTTGTATTTTATTTGTATTTTTGTATTTATCATCTGCCATCTGTACCGGAGCTGGGGTAATGCAATTTCAGCGTTGTGGAATCAATAAAGTCTTATCTAATCTAATCTAATCTCATCTCATGTCATCTTATCTCATCTTATCTCATCTTATCTCAAGTGAAAAATAGTGAAAGTTCCAGTGATGTGAAGTCAAGTAATGTGGTATACAGTAAACTGATCCAACATGAATAAAAAGAAAAAGAAAGTAAAAGTAAAACTATGATACGAAAGGTGAAAGTAGCAAGAACAGTATAAATGAGCTCTGTCTGCCCCCACTGCAGTCAAACTGTCCAGAGCCACACAGGAGAAGGTAATGACTTTCAGAATAACTTTGACATTATTGTTTGCATTTCAATGAAGTTACGTTTTCTTTCTATCTTTCTATTCCTTTTTATACATTTGTATTTTTTTTCATAACAATGTAATTTATTATTGTTATTCAGTTACAATTGGTGGTGCTACCTAAAAATGTTTCCTTTTTCAACAGCAACAGAG